GCTGCTACCATTCAGTAGAGTGGAAAAGAGTTCCCTCCATAATTTAAGTACTTTCTGAACAACGGTAAAAAATTGTTGCATATTGTTATGTAAAAACGAGTGTTTAAATAGCTGCAATAAGTTTTTTTTTCATTTACTTATGCTTATGCTTCGCAACAAGACGATTGTCGCAGTCAAAGTACAAGCAGAAGCCGATTGCCTACAAAATGGGCAGTGCTCTTAGCAGTCGTTGGTTCTGAATTTGGTCAGCGGCACAATTCAAAGTAAAAGCAGGGCCATTCCATTGTGACTAGTGGGACATTTTACTACAGAATGTGACAAATTGTGAATTTTGACTATGTCGTCGGAACTTATACAACAGCGAAAGATATTACAATGCTTTTATCAACTTGCAATGTTGTGTGTCCAGACTACCATTTATACTATAAATATAGCAAAGGTATTTATGGCAAACCTAGTCTAGATATCAACCTCGTCGTAGGTACCATATCAAATACATACAATTAGAAAACCTTTAGAGGTAGATATCGCCCCGCTAGAAGAAGTAAAATATTGCGCCTAAAAATTTGCACTACATACGCTACAGCGGAAATGGACGACACGCCATTTCTTAAATTAAATTAATTGCTGCTATATGTATGTCTGTACTAGGAATGTTAAGTGCCGAAAATCCCGGGATTGTTTGCCTAGAATCCCGGGATTTTCGGGATTTATAATTTACAGTGGTGGCAATAATAGAAACGCTTTATGTTGACCAATTTTGGCTATATTTCTTTTGTGTATTTAATATTTAATATTTTCTTTTATAAATGTGTAGCTTAATATACATATAATACGTTCCGAGAGGCAATTTTGCACAAAAAGAAATCAATTTATTCGAGAAACCAAGGGCCAAATATAGCAAAATTGCGTCCTTAATTTTTCTCTCTGGGGTCAGGATTTTTTAAAAGAACTTTTGAAATTTGAAAGATATGAGTAATTGAAAAAATGATTTAAAAATTTCAGTGCAATGTACATTCTTAAAAAACCAGTATGGGTATCAAATGAAAGATAAGATTCTCTAGAGTTAAAACAGATTCAATTTTTTGGTGCGTAAAGGACGCGTAGTTATTGAAAATACCCTTTTATCCTTGAATATCCTTGAAATTTTGCAATTATTATTTTTCATAAAATTATATGCTAAGGACTAACTTTATTAGCTTAAAACAAGTAAGAAAGTCTAAGTTCGGGCGGAGCCGAACATTAAATACCCGGCGCAAGTATTAAATATATGTTTTCCACCTTTCCGAAAGCTACCGCTACATGATAAGCCGGGGTGTATACATTTTAAGTAAATTAGCGTCCTTAAATTTCGAAATATTGAAATTTCAAGCATTTTTGAAATTTACCGTTATATGAAAAGCGGCCTCAATTTTAGTCCGATTTCAACAATTTCCAACGGTTTGCTTTTATGTGGCAAGCACAATAACCATACCGAGCTTGGTACAAATTGCTAGAACGGCTAGCGAGATACATATCACAAGTGGGCGGTGCTACGCCCATTTTCCAAAATTTTGTCATAAACGTATTTCTTGGTAAAGAATTGTTGCAATCATCAATTTTGAATAAATTAGCTTCAATATTTACTGATTTATCGAAGATTTTGTATTTCTCGAAATTACCGTTATATGGGATGTGGGCGTGGTTATTGTCCGATTTTAGAAATTTTCGGCCATTTGTTATGTTGTACCAGGACCAACAACTGTGCCAAGTTTGGAAGAAATTGGTGTAGCGGTTACCAAGATATACACATGTAACCATAAGTGGGCGTGGCTACGCCCATTTACCAAAATTTTGTAATATTCTTATTTTTCGTCTAAAACTTATTATAAATATCAATTTTGAGTGAATAATCTCCAGTAGTTACTAAAATATCGCAGTTTTCGTATTTCTGAAAATTACCGTTATATGGGAAGTAGGCGTGGTTATTGAGCGATTTTAAAAGTTTTCGGCCATTTGGTATGTTATGCGAAGGCCAACAACTGTGCCAAGTTTGGAAGAAATTGGTGCAGCGGTTACCAAGATATACACATGTAACCATAAGTGGGCGTGGCTACGCCCATTTTCCAAAAATTTATAATATTCTTATTTTTCGTCTAAAAATTATTGTAAATATCAATTTTGAGTGAATTATCTTCAGTAGTTACTAAAATATCGCAGTTTTCGTATTTCTGGAAATTACCGTTATATGGGAAGTGGGCGTGGTTAAAGTCCGATTTCGCCCATTTTCAATACCAACCTACCTTGGATTAAGGGAAACCTACATACCAAATTTCGTTGAGATATCTCAATTTTTGCTCGAGTTTGCACGGACAGACGGACAGACGGACAGACGGACGGACAGACAGACATGGCTTAATCGATTTCTTTTTTCATCCTGATCATTTATGTATACATTTGTCTATATCTATCTCGATTCGTTTTGGCTGTTACAAACAACCGTTATGTGAACAAAATTAATATACCCTTGTGCACAAGTGCGCTCGGGTATAAAAATAAAATAGATTAAATGGGCATTTTCAATTCTTATTTGTTCTTGAGAACTCAAAAAATTCTTTCAGTTGGTACCCATATTTTTGTTTTATATTGAGCTGAATTTTTTAAATAAGTTTTGGAATTAATCATATCTTTGAAATTATAGTATTTTCCAAAGAATAATGACGTCAGAGAAATGTCCACTTATTTGCAGTTAATTACAGTGAAAACTCTCCTAACGGACACCTCTATTAGACGGACATCTCCCTTGGGCGGACATTTTTTCTTATACCAAGTTTTAAGTATAAATTTCGGAACAAATGACTCTCTCTTAAACGGACACTATCTTGGCCGGACGCGGACAGTTATATTGCATAAAATTGACACAAAAACCTCTATTGAGCGGACGCGAACCTCTTATCAACGGAAATTAAGATTTCTTTTCATAACAAACTAGCTATACCCTGCCACGCTTTACTGGGCATAATCCTGATAAATTATTAACAAAACGAAGCATTCGTTTCATATGAGTTTGGTTTTGAAATAAGTACAAAGATATCTGGTTTGCCGACACGGGAACACGCAACATCTGAGAACAA